TGTTTCCTTTATCGACAGAGCGATAATTGCAAGCCATGTTGATCTGACTCCTATATCGACGCGGGCGACAAGGAATAAAGCTCGAAATGATGTCGAGCACTGGAGTCTAGTGTTTAAAGAGGAACCCACATGGGTTTTTGTTCTGAGCCCCTTAGTATAACGAGCTGACCTGGAGTTTCCACTAGCAACAACCCAGAGGAGGCCAGGGTAGGAAGATGGCACGGGTAACCTAACTCTTCGTCTGGCTGTTTTGGACGATGACGAGAGTCATCAAAACCGCACAGCAAGCCGCATGCACTAATAGCACGCATTTTCCTCCACTTGAGATTCAGTTGTATGTCGAGGTCAATTACGGAGGCATCAGTCAGGCTTGAGAAGGAAAAAATTATTGACAGTCATGCTTCCTCGACTTCTTTGATTTCCCCCACAAAACTGCACTTCAGCTCTCCAAAAACAGGGTGAAATAGATGAGTGAGGCACTAAGTGAGCGAGATCAGTAATGCACACTCCTCAAGAACAAGGAAGGCAAATTTAACACACTCCTCTGTTCCACAGTATCATCCAAGGGAGGCAATTCCATCCCTTTTATTGGGTGCTACAGTTTTATATCGTGACTCATGCCCAATAATTACAAACATGATGTCCAAAATAAGACCTGGCCATCCGACAACTCCGACAGCCATCCTATGGCTGGATGATACCTGAGGTGTCATCCATAGAAACCTTGCCGAGACTTTATATCAGCCGTGCTCCTTTGACCCTGTCACTGACGGTGACCGGGTCCGAAAAGAGAGCGATTTTGAGGGGACATAGACAATAGCACATCCGACCTTGGCAGGGTCGTTCATACGTATCGAGAACGTATACAAGGTGTCCCTGAATTGACTGAACGTAGGTTCTTCCGCAGAGTCTATATGATCTAGTAAGGCAGTCAGTGATATATTTTTTTAAGTCCACCCCTCATTTAACGATGCAACAATCTTTGATTCTCACTTGCACTCTCATGAATGTAGGGTGAGATTTCACGAATTTCGAATAAGACCTCAAGCTGTTCTCATAAATCTCGTAGGACCACGTTTCACCTTTGTGATCTCAAACAGGACGTCATGGAAACAGGAGGATATCAAATGAGACCACATGAGATCTCATAGGATCTCGTGAGGTCACACAGCAAACTCTAGATTTTCATGAGAATTTATCAGGAGGGGACTCTTTTATTTGCGGAACAGAAGCTCTCATAATCATGCTCTCTCCAACTACGTCGTAAGATGTCATACATTAAGTGCGACTACGTCGGAGTCACAATTCGGCACAGATAATGATGGATATAAAGATAGGTGCAATAAAAGTAGGCCCTCTTTGTATTGTGGAGAGACCGAACGTGGACACGTATCAGGCATCGACGAAGGCTCGCCTCCTCATTTAGCAATGCAACAATCTTTGATTCTCACTTGCGCTCCCATGAATGTAAAGTGAGACGACAAAAATTCCTCATGAGACCTCAAGTTATTCTCACGAAGCATATTTTACCTTTGTGAGATCTCAAATAGGACCTCATTAAAACAGGATATTACATGAGGCCTCATTAGATTTCACGAGATCTCGTGAGGTCAAAATTCATTTCAAAATTGCCTTCGCAATCAAAATCGCATCAAAATTGTCTTCGCAATCTTACAACTATTGGACTTTTAGACCGATCTTTTCACCCAACAAATGAGCAAATAAACATTTGGAAACAGGGTAAGTGTAAGCTGTAAGTGTAAGCGAATATAAGGAAAAGCTTCAATAGTGGAATAGTAGAAGAACGCGGGAGGATACGAATGGATTCAAGAGAATGGAGAGGAATCACGAAATGCAGGGTTCTCCACGAATTAATTGAATATTGTGGGTTTCGTGTCCGGGTCACTTAGACCGGGGCTTCTGCTACATAAGTCAGACGCATGAGGCCTACAAGACAATGCGTTTCTATGCCATGGATTAAGCGAAATAACCTATGTTCGGTATGTTAGAGGGACACCCTTTTTATCGGAAAAAAGGCTTGGTGAGCACCATGGGGGTCTTACCTCGCAGCTGTTGCAGATCATCCATCGTTTCCTTAAAGGCCATGCACGTGAAGGCGACAAAGGGTCAGATCCGCATGGATTGATGGATATAGAGTGACCTGACAACTCGCGTGACTTAGCGTCCAGTGCGACCCCCCCCCCCACTTTTCTCTGACACCGACAGTGAGACATTAATTGATGGTCTCATTAATCAGGACCCTTAATGAGTGTTGGGCAGCTGGTGTCGCTGTCCTCATGAAGATCAACATCGATTTGCCATCGTTTAGTGGACATTCATTTCGCCAGCGACAAGCCTTTCAAGACATTCCTTCACTGGGTCTCAAGCCAGGTGAGTCAAGTTTCGTTCTTCCTCGTTATAATCATCCTAACAATGTATTAAAATAGACCAATAAAACCTCACTTCATTAGTCACATCTCAGAAGTGCACCTTCTTCATAATGTCATAATTATGTACGTCATCTGGACCTTTAAATAATGGTCTCTTTAATCAGCATGGTTGTGCTAGCCCAAATCCCAACTGCCATATGCAATATTGAAAGATGGAAATGGATTCGCCCATGCAGCCTGAACTGGGGACGAATACTAAATGGGCCATTCAGTTCGAGAAGTAAGTCGTAATTGGACAGGGTGTGGAAAACCTTAGCCATGAAGTTACATCAATTAGTTCCCTGTTGACTGAAGTGACCGTACCTGAAACCGTTCTCTATGACATAAATTATTGAAGTTCACAAACTCTTTTTAGCGTGACAACCTTCCATAACTTTTTTGTATTGGTGTGATATATAGATTTAAAAATATATTGATCAGAGAATCTAAATCAGACTCTTCAAAATTCTTTGGATTGATGTCTCCCAATTCGTCTCTCTCGACGGGTCTTCGGCTTATAAGTGTAAAAAGGTTATAGCTCCTGGGAATTGTTTAATTTCCATTCAACTTTTGTCGCGTTGTGTCATTCAATATACTTTTTGAGGGAAAACGCGTACTATGTCGACAGTCCTTTCTTTAAGAAAACAAAGAAAACATCTGGTGGAACTTGAGACAATTGTTGCCAGTCTCTTCCGATCGTGTGAAACATTGACATCTCAGGGTGTGACGTTGGACCTCCAGTAATTGGCGCATGGTTACAGTCTTTTTGGTGTAGCTAGTGTAATCTATATTACAGTAGTTGAAATGTAACAAACGAGAACTGTGTGCAGGTGTGAGTACGCAATAGGAGCAATCCCGTAATGTGTAATCCCGTAATGCAACAATCTTTGATTCTCACTTGCACTCTCATGAATGTAGGGTGAGATTTCACAAATTCCGAATAAGACCTCAAGCTGTTCTCATAAATCTCGTAGGAGCACATTTCACCTTTGTGATCTCAAACAGGACCTCATGGAAACAGGAGGATATCAAATGAGACCACATGAGATTTCATAGGATCTCGTGAGGTCACACAGCAAACTCTAGATTTTTATGAGAATTTATCAGGAGGGGACTCTTTCATTTGCGGAACAGAAGCTCTCATAATCATGCTCTCTCCAACTACGTCGTAAGATGTCATACATTAAGTGCGACTACGTTGGAGTCACAATTCGGCACAGATAATGATGGATATAAAGATAGGTGCAATAAAAGTAGGCCCTGTTTGTATTGTGGAGAGACCGAACGTGGACACGTATCAGGCATCGACGAAGGCTCGCCTCCTCATNGTGCGACTACGTCGGAGTCACAATTCGGCACAGATAATGATGGATATAAAGATAGGTGCAATAAAAGTAGGCCCTGTTTGTATTGTGGAGAGACCGAACGTGGACACGTATCAGGCATCGACGAAGGCTCGCCTCCTCATTTAGCAATGCAACAATCTTTGATTCTCACTTGCGCTCCCATGAATGTAAAGTGAGACGACAAAAATTCCTCATGAGACCTCAAGTTATTCTCACGAAGCATATTTTACCTTTGTGAGATCTCAAATAGGACCTCATTAAAACAGGATATTACATGAGGCCTGCTCCCATGAATGTAAAGTGAGACGACAAAAATTCCTCATGAGACCTCAAGTTATTCTCACGAAGCATATTTTACCTTTGTGAGATCTCAAATAGGACCTCATTAAAACAGGATATTACATGAGGCCACATTAGATTTCACGAGATCTCGTGAGGTCACACGGCCAACTCGAGATTTTCATGAGAATTTTTCAGCACGGGGGACTTCCACGTGCGGAACATAAGCTCTCATAATCATGCTCTCTCCTACTACGTCGTAAGACGTCATTATTTTTGCTACTGCGTAGCACTCCCAATTAGGCACAAGTAATAATGGATATAATGATAGGTGTAATATAAGTGAACCAAGCTTATATTTTCGAGAGAACGAACGAGCACGCGAACCAGGCGTAATCATCGACATAATTTGTTGGCAAGTTGACCTATGTCGTATTTTGCCGTGCACGAAAGAGGAATAAAGCCCCGAAACGGTGTCGTTCACTGGAGTCTAGTGTTGACGGAACGATTCGCTGGAGTATTTGCTCTGAGCCAATTAGTGTCACGCATCAACCTGGAGTCTCCACTTGCATTTACCCGGAGGAGGCTGCGGTCCGAAGACGTGAAGGGTTACCTGTCTCTTCGTTTGGTTGCTTCGCTATCTTTCACAGACTAGTTCTATTCATCGTCTTGCCAAGTCACGGTTGTCATGAAGGAAGGCTCATCTGCTCGTTCAGATAATTTCACACAGGACTTTTGGTGTGGAGAATTTAATCTCTCATGTATGATGCCTTCTTCTACCACATCATAATTGTATTTGCAATTAGGCCCATGGAACGATGGATATAATGATGAGTGCCATAAAGTTAGACCATGCTTCCTCTATCGAGAAAGCGATAATTGGATGTCATGTTGACCTGGTTGCTATGTCGACGCGGGCGAAAAGGCGAAAGCCCAAAATAACGTCGAGTACTGGAGTCTAGTGTTTACTGAGAAATCCGCATTGATATTTGCTCTGAGCCCCTTAGTATAGCGAGCTGACCTGGAGTTTCCACCTGCATCAACCCGGAGGTGGCCACGGTAGGAAGATGGCACGGGTAACCTGGCTCTTCGTCTCGCTGTTTTGGACGGTGACGACAGCCATCCATACCGCAAAGTTCTTCGCCCCCGACAACAAGACAAAGCAGATATTGAATCCCTTCGTTCAGCTAAACGCACGTTCGGCCTTACACTGTTCCATGGCTTGCCTCGAGTGAGTTCTCTAAACATTCATGAATTCACTTCACGATTTGATGATGTTGCATACTTCACTAAGTCATTCCATGTTCGTCATTAGAAGTACTGATGTGCTCCACTGGTTTTTGTCGAAAACTTCACAAAACAGCCTTTTCAATGAAAGCTATTGCAAAAATAGGTAATTCCTTAAACCTAAGAAAATTCGTGTTCTTACGGCATTTCTTGCAATATTACTCGGCATATAGATATCGGAGACACCTCGTAAGGGAATAGTAAATTTATAAGCTGTGGAAATCCATCCATCCACATTTTCATACTATAAAAGAATACGCTAAGAAGATTCATGGTAGGTGTAGCCTCTGGCCTATAAAGCTTTTGCCCCACAAGGACATAGGCTTGGTAGCCCATGGGCCTATAAGCCTTTGCTTTTCTGGATCATAGCCGATGAGGATACTAGCCTTCTCCTTTCCATGTCATAGGCGTAAAAACTACATAGACGAATTACGAAACGCGCCTAGCGTACCAGCCTATGCCTTTCCAGAAGCTATGCCGAGTGGGATGTGTTAAACAGCTTAACAATATGTGATGCGATGCACCCGCGTAAGATAATCGATGAGGCTGCGTAGGTCTGCACTGACCTATGAGCAAACTGTATATATTAATGCGTAGAGGGGAGCTGCAGGAGAGCAGGGCCGCAAATATAAAGTATTACAGTGGAAAGTCCGCAGGACATTTCACTACACCGCTTTTAGACAGACCTGATGATAAACTCAAATATTGTGAATTTCTTCCGTTAGTCTTTCGAATCATTAATTTATTTAATTTAGAATATGGCGGGAGGGCGCTCCGTGGCGCAATACCCACTCGGAGTGGCTAAAGGTTTATAAGACAAATTTTATGCATCAACGGTATTCATGCAGTTATATGGACTTTAGTGGGATTTCCTTCATGGAATGATCTCTCACGTGACGCTGAGAGGGCATCTCGTATTTGGAACTTCCTTTCATCCCAGTAAAAGATTACATCGAGGACTGAACTCAAGAGACATAGAGCTTCCATTACTGTAATTAACAGCCGTTTCAGAATAAAAAATAATGTAAGGGAGAAATTATACATGGAATACCTTGACTACGAAATTTGACAGTGTTTGTATTTCTTGCAAACAGCCGCATGAACTGCTTCACCTACTCTGTGACCAAGGGATCTGGGTCTGTGGACTGTCGATTGAGCAGCACATACGATCCACAGAGGATTCTCAATTCTGACAGCAGCTTCTACTACCGAGAAGTGACAGCCGCAGGTAAGTCGAGGGTCTTACCATACAGCCTTACTTACCATACATATATATATGGCGACGAATTCAATCACATTCACTGACCTTATCGATCAACCTCGATAAATAAAAGGTTTAAGCAGACGCTCGGTTTTTTTTTCTTAAAAAGGTTTTATTATTGCTGGAGAAGATTAGCTACAACCATCATTTTCCCCCCATTTATTTTCTATGTTGAGAACAATGTTTTCACAAACTAATGGCGGACGCTGTGCTGCAGTTCAGTCACATTTCAGGGTCTTTGACTTAAAATTTCGGACCTCGGGCTCCGATTTTACGAACAATTCTACTTTCTTGGTCGATATGTTTCGAACGTCACGCATGGCATTAGTGGACGGGATATGACACTTTTCCCATCAGAAAAATTGTTTTTCTCAAAAAGAAGAAGGGAAGTGCTTCGTAAGGCGTTTCATCACTCCGTAATGGATAAAACCTCAGGAGCTAGGGAACATTTTTGTACGACATTTCAGCGCCAAGCACTCAGTAGTTCGGTTGCTAGGGCGTCAACAAACACACTTTCAAATGAATTTTGTTTAATATCAGTCAGATGTAACATGTTTTACGACTTATCTTTCACCTTAACGCAGGAAGATATTTCCAATATGGAATCAATTCGTCAAAAATATATTGTGTGAAACATATCTTCAAATTGTATCGGGAGATTGGGCATATATGGGGTACTTCTCCGAGGATTTCCTTTCACGTACCTGGCTTGTTGGTCTCTTTTCCTTTCTAAGTCGAAAAGAGGCATGACGCAAGAGGATGGTCAGATTAACGGTTCCTTTGAAATTTCATTTATTTATTTATATCTTCAGATATCTTCAACTTTAATTTCCTCGGCGTTTTTAATCGTGGCGCTAATACTGCCTTCACGTTTTGGAACAATGAAATGATTGAAGCCATTTGCTTTACTCTTCAGGTACAATGAAATGACATTAATATCTTTGATTCTGCACATAAACCGTTCGCTTCCTGGCAGGTTATAACCCTGTGCCGGGAACCCTCAGTTATGTGAGGACCGTCGTGGACAGAACAAAGGATTGGCCCCATGCAGAGGCGGACTGCGAGACAGTCGGGGGCCGACTGGCCGTGGACAACAATCAGCAGATCCACGACTACATAAGCCAGGCCATAGTGGCTCTTGGAATATACGCGCATCCTGCCCAATATTATGGATATTTCTGGATCGGAGGGTACAGCTCGACGGACTATCTCCATTGGAGGCTTCTCGATGGTCAGTCTAAAACTTTATGGTATGAGGTATGGAGCAACGTTTAAAAATAACTACAGGGTGGGCAAAAAAATTATATTCGGTCATCTGTGTCATTCCACAGCACTGGTCCCCAAGAGTTTGCTTTTATTTGAATAGCACCTCCATATACAACATCCTTTCCGCCTCCTAATGATGTCAATGGAATAAAGATTCGTGGCATAAATTTCATGCAGTTAGAGAAAATGTATAAGAAGTGGCTTTGGAAAATGTTGTGCCATACCACGAGGGCAGCGAGTGCATGCAATAGGTCGCCTACTCGACATAAGCGAAGATAAGGCCGTCACCTGGAGCACATCTTGTTGGGTACTGTTGAATCACTTTTCAAGGCTTTCTCTGTTATACTGTGCGTAACTGCATTGGAATGACGGATTGTATCGTGAATGTTTTGACAACGGTGGAATACTAGATAGTTCTATATTGTGACGCTATTGCAATATATTCAAACTCTCGAGAAACTACGCTGTGAAGCATTAAAGATAACAGAATATTTTTGGCCCACCCTGATCTCACTCGTGCTTTCCGTATAATGAACAACTTTAAAATGCTGCAAGAGTTCATTTGTGCCATGCATTTGTGCACATGAGCCAGAAGCATCTTGAAATGTTTTGTCTCCCATCATCTTGCAGTAAAGTGGAACTGCAGTATAATGCATAGCGAGTCTATTTACACCTCCATTGAAAACCTACCAAATTAGTGAAAATGGCGCAGGAGAAATGGAAAAGCTCATTTCTTTTTCCCATACTGTCTGGGCGCACAGCGTGATCACATAGACTCGTCGACATTCGCTATAAAACGAACCAGAATATGCACTAGACGGTCTATACAGATATAATTAATAATTCCCTGAAGGATTATAAAGCCCTGGAAAGCAGCTTACATGAATAATTGCAAATGAATTTCGCTATCATTGATCTAAATGTCATATATATTCCACATTACCAAGATCCCTTTGTGTATTTCCGGCATCACACCATAGAGCGGCTCTGAGTCCTTAAAATTATGACGCTCAGAACTTCATGGGCTTCAAGCATTTTCACTGCAGAGAACAGGAAGTCCAAACATCCCGAGAAACTATTATTAGAAATTAATCATGCATTACATACAAAATCACTTTTTTAAATAGCAATTTGAGGACTCAGCATAAAGTGAGACAGTATTGTGGATATGTAGGGTGGCGCAAAAGTCAAGACTCAGGGATAATGACAAATTTACCGTTTAATTTGTTTGCCTTTTTCAGGTGAAAATGAAACTGGCTGGAAAATTGACTAAAGACGAGCGAGTGTAATTAATTTTTATTGGCGCAAAGGAAGGCGATGGGTACCGTTCAGTTGCCGATGAATTTAATTTATTGTGTGCAGACAGAAATTTTGGATTTTCAAAAGTAAGAACAGTGATCGAGCGCTTCAAAGTCACTGGAAGTGTGCATGACCAACCTTAATGAAAGGCCGACGGTCATTTAAAAAGAGAATTGAAACTTGTTTTCATACTAATGGAGAGTAGTTTGAACATCTGTTAACATAAATGTTAACCCTTATGTGCCCTGTGGCCCTGTATTATGGGAGGGTTGTTCAGAAAGTAATGCATGCAAACAAAAATCTTTATTTAGGCTAAAAGCAAACATTTCTTACTCTCATCCTTCTAAATATGCACCACCATGTGTAAGAAACTTTTCAGAGATTTGCCTGGCAAAATCTCCTGCACAACTCCCCTAGGATCTCTAACTCGATGAAACTCCCTCCCAGACAGGCATTCCTTGCGAGTCGGGAAGAGTCAAAAGTTCGGAGGTGCTAATTAAGCAGAATAAACCGAATGGGGAAAGTACTTACCATTTCATCACCACGTGCGTGATAAAAGTAACATATTGCTGCTTTGTGAATGATCATCGATCCAGACAACCTAGACGATTGAGAATTTCAGGAAACAGATTGTATGGTGTATACAATGTGATGCAAAATATTTACTAATCTTGTGTTTCCACAATAAATTTCATAAGGCGTCAAAGGCGACGCGGTTTCTTTTTTGCCGCATCCGATACTTGAAATTTCATATTGGAAAGACCAGTGGTCGTTCCAAGGTCGGCTTCTTAATCTATATATTGTACTGACCGATCTCGCGACCGTCCGCACCGCCCCGCTATGAAAATAATGTGTTTCCCTAGGCACGACGGTGAATATCACAGGACCAGGCACAGGCCCCTTCCACGCGTCAGAACCTGAAGCCGGAACAAATTGCCTGGAGATCGCCGTGTACCCAGTCCCGGACCCAACCTGCTGCTCGGCCAAATGGGGTGGGGACATGTGCAACTGGATCTCCTGGACCTCGGGATACTTCTGCGAGATCAAGATACCAAATTGATGATGGTATTTTGATGCTAGGGATGCAAATGGGAAATCGATGAGAAGTGATGAGCTCTCGTCGTTCATGAATTTCTCATGTATTTGTCACGATTTCTTCAGTATTTAGGTCTCTTGAACTTACTGCTGGCAATGTTGATTTTCACGTGATGCACCTCAAATGTTTCATATTTAATTCTCCAATAGATATTCGTCCGCACAATAATGTATATGTATGCACAGGCAAGGACTTCATGCAAATTTAATCATTGTGATGATACACTAGAGTTCGAACTTACTAAATCCCAAATATTGAATAATATGCTTACATTTCTTACGTCGTGAGTCACGGAACCAAGTACTTCTAACCAAAAGGCATGAATGAGACAATGGATGCAGGGGGGAATGTGATTCGGAGCAAAGATTCTCTACGACTATTAATTTCGAAAGCCTCAGTTTCCCAGGAAGTTTTGCTTTCCGGTTTCTGGCATGCACGGCTACTGATGTTGGGTGCATATTAACTTTCAAATGTTCCACTTCTTACCTACATTACTGTTCAGTTGCCTGGGGGAAAGAGAATTCCATTATTACAATTTTGCAACTTTCATCTGGTGTAGATGCTTCAACAGTGAATGAACTGCCATGAATTTGAACAGTTGAGATCACCATGTACTTTCTATGTTTCTCCTAACCAACATTTTCATGTATACTGCTTCATAGACCTAGTACATTTTAGAAACTGATAAGAGGTTCCCACTTGCCCCGATAATTGGGGCATGTTGGAAGGCTTGGAAAAACGTTTCTACAAAAGTGATTTCTTTTCATTTTAGGATCTTTTTTAATAAGAGCTTTTAGGCTTGAATTTTGTGTGCTAACAGTTGATTTTTGTGGGTTACCAGTCATCAAAATAGTTCTTCAACACACTAAGCAACATTCAGATTATCTCCTCTTCAAGTCGGAAAATTATAAAATCCTCCCGAAACTTTTCAGTGACGCACATAACGGCTCCTTCATTTTACGCCCGGGGAAAAAAAAGGTAAATAAATATTAATTCCCATTTGTAATAACACTCTGCTACGAATACATATTTCCTGTATGCTGCATGATTGCAAATTACATGATGTATCACATTTAGTACAATCCAGTTTTTTTTTTATGACATTGATACCTCCCCACACTGTCACTGTCCCTCCATCTTTCCGGAACGCCATCGCTCTTCATTCCATCGACTGATGGCTCTGCTCCACTCATGGTGTCGTCTATGGTGGACTTGTATACGGGAACCTTCATGGCTGGATGGCGAGCGGCATTCCCAGCTGAAAGCAGGAGAGCTCCTGCTAGAATTTGCCGCGTTCCTAGATGGAAGCTGGATTCCTCTTGCTGGAAATTGCTGTAATTTCAGAAGAATGCTGATACAGAGTGGCACTGGTTCTGCAAATGAATTTCAAAATCATCTGGATTCCTGCCCATGTAACACAGCGTTGGCGGGCCGCGCGCTACATCTGGGAGATGTAGGCGATGGCTCCATTTATAGGCCTTGAACTGACATGGGAATTCTGATGCAACCAGTTACAATATCAATAAGACGGTTTTGCTTCATTTTGCGTCCTGCAAGTCATTTCAATTTTGAAGTCTGTCTTTTAAATCAATTTAATTTTAAAGTAGATACATAAAACCATATCACCGGGAAACCTTGGTTTGCTGGAGATCAATTGCTACCATGGGCAACCTGTCTCTGTCACCATGGGATGTTAATTGTATCAAATAACAGACTTTAACATGTGTTGTACATCATCAGTACACAAGGTCTTGGAACTTGTACTGTCTTGTGATTCAATCCGTAATCATCTGGGACTGCCAAAATGGAAGATGATCAGATCACTCCTAAGATTCCTGGACTCCTGATCAGCTGCACTTTTCAAGAGTGAACACATCTCTTTTAGATTTTGGCACTGATCCTAATATTTGCAGCAGTTATTATCAACAGAGGCAAGTACTTGGCTCTCAGAGCTTGAGAATTTCTATGTGACAGGTCACCATGGCACAAATTTCAAGCAGAGACACTGAGCTTTTTGGAATATCCCTGCATTGAAGCGAATCACCTAAGCAAAAAAAATTGCAGCAGCAAACATTCAAAATGAGCTAGTCTAAAGCAAGTTAGGCCTAGGCCTATATCATTGCCTGTAGAGAGAACAACACACATTCAATGTTGAAGCTTAGGCCTATGAGCAGACATGACAATGGTTGGCTCCAATGGTTTTATTTAAAAAACTGGTATTTTTGCGGCTTAAACTTACTTCTTTAAAACCATGAAAATGTTCCATTTTATTTTTCCTGGCCTGCCAGGAAAAGGTCCTTGCCAAAAGTCCTTTTTATAAGTCCGACAAGACGACCTATGAATGAACAGCAGGACTAGCCCAGCCTCTATTGGGCATGACAGCCTACCCCCGTAATAAAACCGAAACACCTTGCGGAACGACTACCCGGGCAGCACTTCGAGTGAACCAGAACAGGACGGATGAATAGATTTGAGCGCCTTCGATTTCATCGGAAGTGTTGGCAGACTACTCTATCATGCAAACTACACACTCACGCTTTTTGCGAAACAATTTTCACCTTTCTTGAATATGCTAACCTCCGAGAAATTCACGTTTCAGGGTAACAAGAAATTGTTTGTGGGACAAATGTTCCTGTCACAGCATTCACCCGCTTTCGAACATAATGGAATGCATACACTGTTTCTGGATTGAATTCGTATACCACCTGCTGAGGGAGAACGAAGGAGACAACTCAGATTGTTGGTGCCATTTCCTATATTAAATAATTGCCGCCATTTTTGTGTAACGAGCACGGGGCGCAGTGGGTTGGATTTATGAAAATATCTAATATTAAGTTAAAATAAAACATTTACCTTAACGCGCCCCGATTCCAATACAATGAATTCCCTTCCATGAAATCAGGTCCGTGCCAATTCAAATTCGAGCGGGAGTAACTAAGGAGTAATTCAAGAAAACAAAAAATGTATTTAAAAAAAATTAATAAAAAATAGTACAATAAAAATGTTAGCCAAACAACCGGTCCAACCCCTTTACAGTACTTTCAATGACAAAGGGCTGATATTCACTTCCAGATAAAACCTTGCAAGTTCTGGGGAAAACTCACGACCATCAAAGCGAAAAGATCCTCTAAACGTTTGTCCTCTCTATGTTTTTTTTTTTTTAGAGAGAAAGGTGGCCAGTTTCAGAGCACCCACGATCAAAAGGGCCCGAGTACCCTGGTCAAATCTGTACTAACTCGAGTTCTTCAGTCACCTCGGAGTGAGGGATGGAGGGAGGGATCTTCAGCTGAAATCTTGCTGGATTGGAGGATAGGTTTGGAGATTAGACTTGATTGGAGGGACTTTGATACCCATTCGCATGATGATGTTATGGCTCCTTATACAGTGTTTGGGTAGCCCATTCGAGAAGAAAAGATTCTGCATTTAAACTGTAAGGAGCCCTTCCACGGGTTGGCTGACCCCAAACATCCTATGTAAATATACTATGTACATACTGAAAATATATTATATCGAAAATGTAATGCGTTTCGTGTCCGAATTATGTTTACGGAATTGAGACTCTACATCGAGACAAACTATTTTCATTTCCATGTTGTCGATCGGCGGGACTGGATCTCGCTAATGAATCATTCGGAATCTGAGGGAGTGGCCTTGAAGCTCCGATTTTCGTTATTTCGGTTCTCGAGTGTAGCATTTACACGCATACACGTTTCAATTCAACATCCTTGCCTTTGCCGCCATCAATTACCATCATCGCGATCTCGTGGTGATTGAAAGTGTCTAAGTTATCAGGATTGCCACGGTTGACGACCTTATCTCCTACGGCCCTCGGTTCGAGTGCTTCTTCACATTACTGTCGTATGACTTTACCCACTGCATTTTCTCCACATTAAGACCGAGGTTCATGAGGCTTAGGATTCATGAGTTTCGGTGACTTCATTGTCTCCGCGGACGTGAACGACCGAGGATTCAATTCGTTTCCCTGCCGTCATATAGTTGCGAATAGAGTGGATTTTCCACTGTTTCTTCCTTAGACAACTTTCGTGCTGTCCTCACAGGGCCCCGAATATGATAAATGCCATGCGAAATTACGAAAGACTCAGAACTCTGATCTCGCATATCTTGTGAATGTATGGTTGTTTTATTTGGGAGCACCAAAGATAACTTCAGTTAAATAAACTTGGTGTAAGATTTTGCAATGGAAAAAAAACTATCGTATTGATTCGAGTTTCTGTTTTGAACGAAAAAAGGAGACTGCATTCCGGCTCATACGAAAGCACATTTTCTTCGCATTGATAGGAAAGGTGTGCATACAAATTGGTACACACAGTCGGGATTTTTGACAATTGGCCAAATGAAGGATTTTGAGGAATGTCTCAAACGATTTATTGGAGTTCGCAAGGTACTACTACTATTCCTGTTACCGTTCCTTTCGAGTGCTTCATATGTTTAGCTGATTGAATGCTGGTTTTCGGGAAGATGATCAATAAAAGCAAGCTACTAGGGCTAATGGGGTTTGCTTTTGCTTTTTTAATTTGCGTCTCATTTGCAATTCCTAACGAAATAGCCAATTACGATCAACGAAGAATCGTCATTGGCCATTGGCAACATCGGGTTGCACCAGAAAGCCGCTCTCCATGGAGTGAGCCCGTTCTCAGTGTTTATTGGTTGTAACTATTCCTGTTCCAAGTCACCACTAATAATCGGTAATGAAAGTTGTACGTCTAGATTTTTGTTCACGTTTCTATGTCTCATATACTCCTAAGAGACGATGCTAAGAAGTACAATTGCATCCGGGGATAATGCGGGTAACGGGTCGAAATGAATTATATAAGCCCAACCACTTTTGAAAAATGACCGACGAAAAGGTTTCCCATTGCATATTCAATTTTTACTGCAATTAAGAAGGTGAATACTTTTTTGCAATGCATGGGTATTTCATGGAATCAAGTTTTGAAATTATTTTTTGTTAGTGAGAATCATAATCGGGATGTCGCAGTGATCCCGCTGGATCACTATAGAAAATGCTGCTTTGGAATTTATCGGGATTACTATGGTGACGACTTTATCTCTTGACGTCCTTAGAGTGCCTGTCGCATAGGCATACTCGTGCCCGTGCTTGGTTCCTCTTTTTCCGCCAAGCAGTGGAGCTCCAGTTCTGTTTACACCAGTGTCAGGTGACTTCTCGCTTTTTTTCCACAACGCATTTTTTTTTTCATAACCTCGAGGTTACGGTGATCGTCTGGATTCATGGATTTCGGTGAGTGCACTGCTTCCGCGAAAGCAAAAGCCATAGAGAGTATGTAAGGGAGAGGCCTCCCCAACCAAGCGGGACCTCGAGTCCAGGTAACCCCGCTATCTTAGGACTGGAGTCGCACAAAGGTGTTGATAGTAGGCCCATAGAGGAGAGGGCAAGAAAGGCAATTTACCCCATCATGCTATCCACTTCCTCCTGTGACTCCAATCCCAAGATGGCGGAGGCGTTTGTATTCTCGAGGCAGCGAAGGGCTCTGCAGAGTCCTTGACTGCCATACACTCTATGGCAAAAACTAATAACTGAATTCCTTTCACCAGCTTGATAGATTTCTTTATGGAATGGTTGTTCCAGTCCTGCAGTCTTTCACTTTGACAACGTTTATGATGCTCTCACGGTAGATGCTATGGGCCATTGTGAAGAACTCTGCTAATCACACAGGCCAACACTTACAATTTCTACATTGCACTCAGAGTATTTGTAACATTCCAACAATTTAGTAGCAAATGTTTCAAGGGGAAAAATAGTATTTTACTGACTCGAGAATATACAATGTTACATATTCAAACACCGAACCATAGAATCTTAGGGAATTTGTTATTAAACATGCTACACAAACTCATTTCTTCTGCCCAAACCAACTATTAAAAAAAACAACTTCTTCTCCACAGCGTTAACACCATGATTGCAGAAGTGGTTCCTGCAACGAAGCGAGATTGATTTCCACATATTATTAACAGGAAAACCTATGGGAAAATCTGAGCTTTTTGGAGCCAAGGCGAGGAGAGAGAAGATTGTGATCGAGAAAGATTTGAATGATCTCAAAGGGCTGGCCACGGAAATTTCGGAAAATTTCAGCACGGGCCCCAGCTGGTGCGACGTCATCCTGCTCATTCAAGATGGAAAATTCTACTCGTGCAAGGGGATCCTCGCCGCCGTTTCCCCATACTTCCGGGAAATGTTTTCATCCGACTTCAAGGAACCTTCCCAGAGGGAGATCAAGTTGGAGGGCTTCACGAAGTTGGGATTC